ATCAGCGTCGTCGAATTGAAAACACACTAGCAGCAGTTTGAGAACGTGCGGTATTGGCAAAACGACGGAGAGAGAAAAGCAGAGCCAAGCCTGCCCGTTGCCTGCTGCAACGTGAGCAACATCCCCCCTCCTACGACCCTTGACACCAACATCAGCGAGACGCTGCAAAAAAAGGCCTTTCTGGCTCTAACCCCCACGCAGCCGGAGCTGCCGGCGGGCAATCGCAGCCGTGGTGCTGGCACAGCCGACGGCCACGGGGAAGCCATCGTCCTACGAACCCCCTGCCTCGCAGCCCGGGCTGCTCGCTACCGGCACCGGCGCGTGCGAGCGGAGCTGGCAGAGCGACCCGGACTCAGCCCCGGCTGATCTCACCCCACCTTGGCAGCTCCAGAGCCCCAGCGGCAAAGCCAAGGTGACGAAGGAGACGTAAGGTATTGCAGGGTATTTTTGATCAAGAGCAGCACACAGGTTTACGGGGGGGAAAGTAAGAGAGTGTGACACACCAGCTGATTAAATTTCTATGCATTACCAGCGGTCACTTCTCCAACTCGTCATGGACGGTGCTTTTTATGGAGAGTGTAAAATTAAAACAAACACATATTGAATTACAGGGCCACTTAAAAGATAAAAATAGACTAGCGGGTAACTCAAACCCCAATTCAGCAAAAGCAAAATCGCACACCAAAGTACCCATATGTTTTACCGAATCTGGGCAAAGGGGTCAAAAAAATGTTGGTCTTGCATTGGGTTCTGCTATTTCAGGCTTTATCTTTAAATCTGAACTCAGCTACTGCCGCATCTCACAACCTGCTGCTGAGTCTCAGCTTGTGCTTTTCCCACCGGTTTCCTACCAGGAGGCAATCAAACACCCAAAGTTTTACACACCTGTCCTACCCCAAGAAGTGTTTACATGCTGGGAAATAAATAAGATGATCTCAGATTCATGTTTTGTATTTAAGGTTTGTGATCTTTAAACTATATTTATTTGGGTTTTTTTTTAAAGGCCCTGTCGTACAGCCATGCCAGGCTTTGCTTTGGATCCATTACCCACAGCTACTTACTCCCTGACAACAACTGCTGCACCTGGAGACAAGTAGTGGCTACAGCACTGAACGAATATGAGTTTTCAAGAGCTGAGAAGTGTCAAAAACATCCAGAAAGACTAATGTAATCACTATATGGTTGATGTTGAGGGTGACAGAGCACTGGAACAGGCTGCCCAGGGAGGCCGTGGAGTTCCGTTCTCTGGAAAGACTCAAAACCCGCCTGGATGCGATCCTGTGCAACCTCCTGCAGGCGACCTGCTATAGCAGGGGGGCTGGACTAGCTGATCTCCAGTGGTCCCTTCCAACCCTGATCCTACGATTTTGCTGCCCTCAAAACAGGCAAAATCTGCACTCATGTCACTGCAAGTTTTATGTCTTGTTTTGTGATAGGAGGCATCTGATCCCCGGTATGTATTTCCCTTCGAGTTTTAGCCACTGCATCACATTATTTACTTTTATATTATGTCACATAATCTTGTATGCCAACAGAAGCAATAAAAGAAAATGATGCAAGGATTAACATTTAAAGGGGCACATACCATGGATGACTAATTTTAGATTATGCACCCAACGCACCATTTCTGTGACAGACAGCGTTGAACTTTGGGAGTCTTCAGCACGCTGCAGATGTCTGGAGAAGGGGCAAGACTTTGCTTACTCTCAGCTGGGCGCAGCAAGAATATTTCTGCGGCTCCCTCAAAATATAGGAGAGCTGAATTACTGTCACGTCATTCAGCAAGACAATGAGGGGAGCAGTGGCAGTAAAGGTAGGGCTTGTGGTGCTCTAAGCTGTTAGATTCGTCAGCAGGTAAAGGGAATATCACAGAATCACAAAATCACATAGAATCACAGAATGTCAGGGGTTGAAAGGGACCTCGAAAGATCACCCAGTCCAACCCCCTGCCAGAGCAGGACCACCCAGAGCAGGTCACACAGGAAAGCGTCCAGGCGGGTTTTGAATGTCTCCAGAGAAGGAGACTCCACCACCTCTCTGGGCAGCCTGTGCCAGGGCTCTGTCACCCTCACAGGGAAAAAGTTCTTCCTTATGTTCATGTGGAACCTCCTGTGCTCCAGCTTGCACCCGTTGCCCCTTGTCCTGTCATTGACATCACTGAGAAGAGCCCGGCTCCATCCTCCTGACACTCGCCCTTTACGTATTTATAAACATTGATGAGGTCAACTTGACCAATTGAACAAGACAGATGTAAAATGGGATGGGGGAAAAGGGGGACTGAGTATTTTTCTTGGTGAGGAAAGATCTCGTGTGTTCATATCCATGCATATTTTCCATGCATGCTCTGGAATACTGTACTTGGTGGTACAACGAATCTGTTTCCTGGCGTGCGACACGGGATGCATGCGTCAGACACCCTATTTTTATCTTCTTCTCTGTGTAACACAGTCCGAAGCTCTTCTCTTAATAACTCAGCGGCTGAGTTAGGGTGACAAAGGCTGCTCTCAGCTACGGCATTCATAATAAAGGATGTGCCTTTCCTACCAAGCATGCTTTGCTTGGCAATATGTAGATCCAAGTGGAAAGAGCTGTACTTTCCCATGCTGTGAAACTGTAAAAGGACTCAGCTGCAAATAAGGATCAGGTGCACAATGTTTCTGAATGAGTTTTCCTTCCCAAATAAAGGTGAGGATACAGCAGCCACCTGGCTTAGTACAAAGGAAAGATGCAGGCAGAGCTTAAGTATGCACATAAGACCTCTGTGGCCAGTGGTTTTGGTTTTGAAATGAAAGTAGGCTATATTCCCTTTTTCTGACCGACCACTGACTACTCTGCTCTTTTCCTTTTTGAGCAACACTGTCAAAAATGTTTCAACTGGTCTCAAATAATATTTGCATTTCTATTGTCTGAAGCTCCTAAGATCAAAATCAGACTTAATTGTAGGCCTGTTTTACGCTCCTCTAATTCTATCAGAAGCGATGCAGTCACTGGTAATTAACACCAGAACAGGAAGGATCACAGTCAAGCTCTTTGTCACCTTACATCATCTTACGCAAGAGCAAGGGAAAGGCTGCACCGGCTGGGCGACTGCTCCACCACACCAAGCTTTCCCTGGGATTCCTACACCTCTCTGTCATCACTTTCACAACGCCCTCTCCCACCAACACGTCTCGATTCTCACCGGTAGATTGCCGCTCATCCCGGCGCAGGGTGCCAAAGCAAATCCCAGCCTTTCCCTGGCAAGACACGCTGCGCTCCGTGCACCATGGCTGAGTGTTTTCATGC